CTTATTTATTGATATTCCCGATAAGCTACAAATATGTACATATACATGAGTCAAAATAAACACACAAGAGGGAGCCTTCACAAAGGTTGCTTAGGAGAAGTCTCAGCAGTCGGTAGAGCCCCAGAAAGAGAAGGCACCGGAGGGGGATCATTTGGAGCCTCAGTACTGGACAGAACCCTAGAAGGAGGAGGCATCAGAGGTTGATCATTTGGAGCTTCATTACGCGGTACAGCCCCAGAAGACGAAGGCAATAAATGCCTTTGGAACAAACCCACAAATCTCTGATGATCAAGTAAAACCTGACCATCAGTTTCCTTCATCTGGTCAAGCTTCCTCTTCATGTTTGTAGCATAGTCATGTGCGAGCCGGTGCAACTATTTATTCTCATGCTTGAGCCCTCTAATCTCCTGTTTGAGACTCATCACTTCAGCCGCCAATGATTCAACTTGGCGGGTTCGAGCAAATAGGCGTTGGGCCATATTAGACACAGAACCTGCACACTGAACACTGAGAGCCAGCGAATCCTTAACAGCTAACTCATCAGACCGTTTGGAAAGTAGTCTGTTATCTTTGGGAGTGAGAAGGTTCCTGGCCACCACCGCAGCGGTCATATCATTCTTCATCACGGAATCCCCAACGGTAAGAGGACCAGTAGGGGAGACGAAGGATGGGCGCCATATGTTGTCTGGAGAAGGCGGGGCTGCCTCTTCAACAAGGTTCAAGTCAAAACGACGGTCGGAGGGGCCAGACATTTTCAAAGGTGTTGAAGAGAGAAGAGGTCGGACAAATCAAGATCTTAGAAGTGCAAGAATGAAGCTTCTACTGGTGGAGATTCAAGTGTGCTTTGGAACTTAATGATAGCCCCTATAAAAATCTGCACTCGACGGAGCTTCAGAAATCGAAGAGGCGCCTGCTCAGAAATCGAAGAGGCGTTTGCTTTCTCAAAAGTTGGGCTACTTAGAGATCACGAGGGTTGATCTCAGAAATCGAAGAGGTGTTTGCTTTCTCAAAAGTTGGGCTGCTCAAAGACCACGAAGGCCGATCTCAGAAATCGAAGAGGCGCTCGCTTTCTCAAAAGCTGGGCTCCCCAGAGACCACGAGGGCCGATCTCAGAAATCGAAGAAGCACCTACTTTTCCAACCTTGTCAGCACCTGTCACACGCACACTCAGCTTTGCGGAAATTATGGGCATTCTGTCAAAGACTTCTGAGGAAGTAGAAAACACATGAATCTTACTGTTCAATCACCCATTTCCCACACGCAACAATAGCTCATGGGTACCACAGATAACTTTGCCAAAGTTCTCTGCCAAAGTTGAGCACGTGAAGCTTGCAGCTCCCACTACATCGCTCTGACCAAGAAGGGTAAAAGAATAGCAAAGAAACAGCACTAACAAAGTTTAGACCCATAAATTTTTGAAGGTCTAGCTACCATATTATTACCCACAAGGGTAAAGGAACAGTACCACTGCTGGATAATTGGAAAGTCCCTGTGTGTCAACCTCTGTGCTTCGTGGCAAGGTAGACTAGCAAACATGCCCAACCTTTACTCACATTCGAGAAAACACTCCCAATAAGATTGCTTGCTCCAAAATCGAAGATGCACCGTCCTCCGAATCTAAAGAGCCAGACTCCCAACATGACTATTTTCTTAAAAATCGAAGAGAGGGTAAAGGAACAGTACCATTGCTGGATAATTGGAAAGTCCCTGTGTGTCAACCTCTGTGCTTCGTGGCAAGGTAGACTAGCAAACATGCCCAACCTTTACTCACATTCGAGAAAACACTCCCAACAAGATTGCTTGCTCCAAAATCAAAGAGGCACCGCTCTCCGAATCTCGAGAGCCAGACTCCCAACATGATTACTTTCTCAAAAATCGAAGAGACACTGCTCCCCGAATCTCGAGAGCCAGACCCCCAGCATGATTGCTTTCTCAAAAATCGATGAGGCATCGTTCTCCGAATCAATCGAAGAGGCGCTCGCTTTCTCAAAAGCTGGGCTGCTCATAGACCACGAGGGCCGATCTCAGAAATCAAAGAGGCACCTACTTTTCTAGCCTTGTCAGCACCTGTCACACACACACTCAGCTTTGCAGAAATTATGGGCATTCTGTCGAAGACTTCTGGTGAAGTAGAAAGCACATGAATCTTACTGTTCAATCACTCACTTCCCACACGCAACAATAACTCATGGGTACCACAGATAACTTTGCCAAAGTTGAGCACGTGAAGCTTGCAGCTCCCACTACATCGCTCTGACCAAGAAAGGTAAAAGAATAGCAAAGAAACAGCACTAACAAAGTTTAGACACATAAATTTTGAAGGTCTAGTTACCATATTATTACCCACAAGGGTAAAGGAACAGTACCACTGCTGGATAATTGGAAAGTCCCTGTGTGTCAACCTCTGTGCTTCGTGGCAAGGTAGACTAGCAAACATGCCCAACCTTTACTCACATTCGAGAAAACACTCCCAACAAGATTGCTTGCTCCAAAATCGAAGAGGCACCGTCCTCTGAATCTAAAGAGCCAGACTCCCAACAACATGACTACTTTCTCAAAATCGAAGAGAGGGTAAAGGAACAGTACCATTGCTGGATAATTGGAAAGTCCCTGTGTGTCAACCTTTGTGCTTCGTGGCAAGGTAGACTAGCAAACATGCCCAACCTTTACTCACATTCGAGACAACACTCCCAACAAGATTGCTTGCTCCAAAATCGAAGAGGCACCGCCCTCCGAATCTCGAGAGCCAGACTCCCAACATGATTACTTCCTCAAAAATCGAAGAGACACTGCTCTCCGAATCTTGAGAGTCAGACCCCCAGCATGATTGCTTTCTCAAAAATCGAAGAGGCATCGTTCTCCGAATCTCGAGAGCCATATACCACAGACCACTTTTTCAAAGTGCTCTGACAGAGTTAAAACATGTGAAACTGGCAGCTCCCACTACTGTGCTATGACCAAGCAGGGTAAAGGAATAGCATTACTACTTGTTGTTAGGGAGACTCCTATATATGTCGACCTCCATCCCCAACGGACAGGCAGACTTGCAAAAAATGCTCAACCCTTCATCATATCTGAGAGGGCACTCCCAACGAAGCCTTTCGAAATATTCAGCTTTCTTTCCCCCCGATAATACCTCTGCAAACAAGCTATACTAGAGCAAGAATATCTCATATCATCAGGGTTAAAAGCAAGAGTATCCCATATCATGCTTTTTCCCTGTCTTTTTCTTTTGGCCTTGTTTTTACCTGCAAGACAAGGAGAAAGAGAGCAATCAGTCAGCACTTGGAATCAAGCTTCCAGCCAGGAACTGACTGCCTGGAACCCCTTACCTGATTACTTACCTGGCATTGCTCTCGAGTACTCATCTTCAACATCTTATGTTTCCAGGGAAGATTCCGCATCTGCTTGAGGAACAGATAGGGCAAGTGCGAAGGATACAAGGAAGCATGTGGAGACAAGCGTAACAGCACACGTGCCGATACATCCATTACTCTGTCAAAAGCAAAAGTATCCCATATCAGCAGGGTCGAACGTACTCTAGATTTGATGGACTTGTTTTGACCCTCAAATTCTTCAGTCGGCCTTATACTCTGGAGGAAACCAAAAAACTCTCCAGCTCAGTTCAAGAATAAGCCTGTGGAACGTTACTTCTTCAAAAGCAAAAGTATCTCATATCATCTCTTCTCATTTTTCTTCTCTTTATCCTTCATGCTGCTGCAAGATGGGGAGAAGGTGAACAATCAGTCGGAGCTCTGATTGCTTACCTTGTCTGTCACCTCTTTCAGCAGACCCCCTAGCTCGGCGACTTGGGGGACTCCTACTACATGGTTTGTATCGCGCTTGACCAAGCCTGAAACTACAAGTAAGCTTCAAGTGAAATTGATACATTACCTTGTGCATCTCCACCAGTTAAAGATACCACCCCTGGATGGAGGAAGAGTACTTCCAGAGAAGATGCCACATCTACCTATGAGACAGATAAGGCAAGTCAAGACGACACCACACTCCGATACTTAGAGGTTTCGTGATTACGAGATCATTCTCCCACAATATTTCCTAATGTCATTTGTACTAAATCATTCACTTGTACTCACTAAAGGAGAGCTTGAACCTATGTACTTGTGTAAACCCTTCACAATTAATGAGAACTCTTCTATTCCGTGGACGTAGCCAATCTGGGTGAACCACGTACATCTTGTGTTTGCTTTCCTATCTCTATCCATTTATATACTTATCCACACTAATGACCGGAGCAATCTAGCGAAGATCACAAAAAGCGACCGTTTTCGCTACCTAGGATCTATCTTGCAAGAGAACGGAGAATTAGATGGAGATCTCAACCATAGAATACGACCTGGACGGATGAAGTGTAAGAGTGCATCCGGCGTGTTATGTGACCGTCGTAGGCCACTGAAGCTCAAGGGAAAATTGAAGGAAAGATGAGAGAAAATCGGTTCCGGTGATTTGGACATGGGCAAAGAAGGCCGACTGACGCTCCGGTTCGAAGATGTGACTACGGGACAGATGTTCAGGGCCGAAGGGGTAGAGGAAGACCTAGGAAAACTTTAGAAGAGACTCTAAGAAAAGACTTAGAGTACTTGGATCGAAAGGAGGACATGACACAAAACCGAGCGCAATGGCGTTCTAGGATTCATATAGCCGACCCCACTTAGTGGGAAAAGGCTTTGTTGTTGTTGTTGTTACTTAAAGCTGTAGTATATCCTGATAGGGAATGTGAAGGCAAGTTCATATTCTACAAAACAGAAGCTAAGCCTTGCTGCTGTATATATTTGCATGTTTGAAGAGCTTTTTGCCTTTCTTTGAAACAGTGCTTTTTCCAAACAGTGCTTTTATTTCTGTTGCCTTTTGCTTATTCTTCAAAAGAACACAAGCTGTAGTTAATCTCCTCAGCTCTTGAGTACCTCTTTCTGAAACGTGCAGGTCAGAGATTCAAATTTGATCATTCTTTCAGTCATATAGATTTGTTCTTTGTCTTTATGTTTTACTGTTATTGCAAAAGCATGTAATTGGGGTTTTGATATTGTTTGGACTGCTCAACTCATCTAAGTTGGTTAGAACCGTTACAACCGTATGCTCCTCCTATGCACACACGTTTGAGCCATCTCTCTCATAGTTTAGATACTATCGCTCGAATCAAACAAAAAATTGTTTGGAATGCAAACAAGTTTGATTTTGGAGGCTGATTTTTATATGGAAAGGAATCTAAATTAATTCCCAGCAGTTACTATTTGCAACTGTATATCGCTGTGATGTCATCATCTGGGATTTTGGGAGGTACGCAACTTGAACAGAAAAAGGATGTTTAATTACCACTTAAATGAAAAGGGTAAAAAACAAAACAAAATTCAACAGTAGGTAGCTGAGAAAAATCGGTAAAAGCATAAAATAATTTACAGATGATTTAGTACTGTGCTGCTGATATAAGTGAGGCCCTGTGAAGCTGGAAGATATTTTTGTTGTGGTCCAAAATTGGCTGAAGCAAGAAGTGGAAAAAGAAGCAGACAAATTATACTAAAAGCAGTTTGCTGATATAATCCATTTGTATTGGTGTTTGCAACTCATCATAGCAAGTGCTCTCTTTGTTTCTATGCAGAATATAAACCATCATGTTTCTAGCACATTAGTCATTCCTTCCTATCTAAATACATTTTCTGCCTTTTTTTTCTTCATTTGTGCACAACAGTGTCAGACTTTCACAAGTCGGGATATATTCTTGCAAAGGTTGCCAAATTAAACTTCTAAGTATGGAGAAGCTTCTGAAGCCATATGATAAGGAGTATATGAGGATGGCCATCCTAAAGCATGAAGAAACTTTCAAGGAGCAGGTAATAAATGATAATTTCAGGGTAGTGATTTTTACAGTCCCGTTTTCTCCTTCCGCACTCCTCCCCTTATTTCCGTCTATTCTTTCTCCCTTGATTTATTCAGTCTGAAGGCCAGGAAAAGAAACCTGGGGAGTGCGGAAATCACTTCTGTAATTCTATTCTAATCTGTTCACTCCTTTCTGTTTTAGCTTGTGTCTAAACTTGAGTTAGTGCTGCAGGTCTATGAACTTCATAGGCTGTATCATATGCAGAACATATTGATGAAAAGCTCCATCGGGAAAGGCAGGCCCAATGGACAGAAACAAGAGAGTTGGAATTTAAATTATCATCAGAACCAAGAGGCACAATTTAACCCACAAAGGAAACTAGATTTAGAACAGCCTGCAGCAGCAGGAGCAGAAGAGTTCATTGCAGACACAGATGGAGATGATGGGGTGCTCGAGATCATAGATGAGAGTGAGATTGAGTTGACTCTGGGCCCCACCAGATACAACAACAACAACAGCAACAGAAGCAGCAGCAGCAACGGAAGGAAGAGAGGAGGAGAGGCAGCAGCCCTAACGTTATCAGATTCAGCAGGTCCAAGTAGCTTCTCATCTTCTTGTTCTACTGGATCAAGCCATGCAATAAACAGGCAAAGTAGTTTCTCCAGGAGGAACAATCAGAGTAGTACACATGGGCAGCTGCTGCCTGCTGACATGGCCTCAGGAGGGTACAGAAGAGGTGGAGGTAGTAAAATCAGCGGCAGCAATGTTAATGGTGGCGAAGAACAGTTAAGACAGGATGAGAGGCTAAAACTGCCTCATTGGCTCTTCCAAGTTTTAAGCTTGAACATGACTTGAGATGATCTGATATGATTTTTGGACCTCTTCTTCTTACTTCTTGACTAATATGTGATTGATGATGTTTGGGTGAACTTCTGATATGAGCTTCTAATTAGTTGGTTAATTTTCTATTGTGATGGGTGGAGTTTTGTATAAAGATCATCATTTGTCTCCATTGCTTTATTTCCATTTTCAGTTTTATAAAGAAATGTAATGAATATGATGAAATGGAGATGAGTAGCCACGGATAGGTTTTACCGTGTAACTAGGCGTTACGAGAGAGATAAAGAAAAGTGATGTACTCGTAATTACACTACACTCAAGATTATGCTCTACTCACTTTGATCAGCAGAGATATTATCTTGTCACCTTATCACTGGTGACAAGAGGATTGTTTGAGTGTATTTTTTAAATACGTGATAAATATGTATTGGATGAATGATGCTATTGAGACTATATATCTTGGTTGGCTCTCGAACACAATCAGCACAACACTCCATCAGGGTTCATGGACAACTTGACAAAAGGGGAATCTTTTTTCATCTTAAGATGCTGTGTGTTCAAGCACCTACGCTGTTGACAAAAGAAAGTTTATCTTATCTTATAGTTACCTGACAAAAGGAGATAGTCTTGTCAAACCTTATCCTCCACAGTCTACACGCAAGCTCAAATGTTTTCTAGCAACATTGTCGAAAGGGGATAATGACACGTTTACTTACCTGAAATAAGTATTTGGAATTATTCCAACTAATGATTATTTCTACGTTTATTAACACATAAGAAGTAACGAAAGGATTCCTAAGGAGGATTTCCTTAAGCATAAGTTATTATCCATGATTAGAATCAGAAGAGACCAAATGTAGATTTCTTTCTTCTTCTCGTGGTGACTTATCATCTGGACGGTTGTATTGCACCTTCTCATAATTTGTAAAAATAATGGTTACAATTGTGAGAGAAAGTGGAAAACTGAGGAATCTAAAGTTATATGCTACTGAGGTGGTGATAAAGTCTGACTTCTCCGAGTTCTATTTCATCAGGGGTTTCAAATTTTGAATTACTTGTTCTGATCACTAAATGATATGTTCTGCAAAGAAGAAAAAAACCTTGTTTGCATCAAATTATCTGCAAATAAAGTCATCTACACAACTTAAAGAACGTGTAAATTCTCAACGATTCATTCATTCGCAAGTCCGATTCCTCCCACCTCCGTTCATCAAAGATTAATTAAGGCCTTCAATTCACAAAGATTCAAACTAAACGATAATGTCAGTACTTTAGGGTTTGGTTAAGGTCATGAGTCCTTTTTATGAAGTCATCACATATAATAGAAAGCATCTCTTCAGGGTTGCATGATAATTTAGCCCCCGACATGATCAACATGCTGCACTGCTAGAGTGTCTGTCTAGCTACTCTTTAACTTTTTCACAAAGGGTTTAATCATTTGAGCACAGACCCCACAAACGCAGTAATGGTATGGTACAGTAGGTCTATTTTGGTTTCAGGACAGGGTCCTAGCTACAAACAAAAGCAGCTGTTTGGATTGAAACAGAAGGATGCCTGTGGACTATACTAGTTGGAGGTTAAGATTTGTGGTGTGTTTACTTATTCATAATTGACTTATAAACAAGGGAATTGATTCTCACTCTTTTTCTTCTTTTACACATTTTGTTGATTTCTGACATTTAGATTGTACAAATCAAAGAAGAATTGAGCGGAAGAAGAAAAATGATGTGTGAAATTATTTTCCAACAAACTAGTGGGGTGGATGTAAGCAAATACCATGTTCTTCTACAGTAAAACTAGTTTAAACTCGTGTTCATAATCTATGCATAGTACGCGCCCTATTTAGTAATACGGAATGCAAGCTCAAAATGAGCGTACCAACGGAGCATTGCCGTTTAATATTGATTCCAAATAGGTAAACATGTAATAAGAGTGCGCCTTTTCTGTTTCTTTCTTTAATTTCTTCTTGATGACCAGATGCACTAAACTAGTTGGAGATTACATGGATATAGCAATCAAATTTTACCACAAACGATCATACATACACACATTTTCAAGACTGCAACACCAAGCCCATTACTGTGGCTCAGTTTTTGCTATAAACAAACTTCAACTGAAAAAGATTATACTCAGCCTCTCCACTCTTTTATACTCAATGCCATTAAATCGTGTAATCTTATTCAAAGCGAAGTGGCAATGTTATTTACAATGACATCACACAAAGCACAACAAAGATGGAACAAATTAGAAATTCAAGTTACAAATTATCCCAAGCCTAAACAAAGCAAACAAAGGCAATTGAATTTAGACTTCTCATAAAGCAGCATAGAGCTCAGTTACACACTGAAGCTTCAGGAAATTGAATGCCGCCGATCTTTGGCAGGTTTTGTTCGGCCTTTGGCACCGGTAGGTGTCACTCCATCTGCACGCACAAAGGGAGAAAGCTTCCCAAGTTTTTTCGATACTGAGTTTATGAATGATTTTCGAGGCAGCGGAGGTTTGTCAGCAGATGTTGGAGTGTTTCCCATTGGACTGATCATTGCTGTTCTCGTAGTAGACGTTTCGAGTTCTTTCAGTTTCATTTTCATCTTCACCAATTCCATTTTCAGCTCCTCGTTTTGTCTGCGCAAGATGGTGAGCTCATCAGGAACTGGGTGGATATCAGTGGAGTATAAGCTCCCTTTGGATGGAAGAACAGAGGATTCAGCACCAATGGAATTGCCATTCATGACGTCTCGAAGACGCTGCTGCTCATAGTATAGCACTTGTACAACAGTTTGAACAGGAAGCCGGTCATTCTGCGCAGCGTGAGCGCAGGCCTCGCGCGAAAGTTTCTGGCAGTCCATCATACTGCACACTTTCTTTCTCTCCATATCACTCAGAGCAGGATGAGCCTGTGAAATGTTACAAGATAGGTGAATTAACGTAAAAACTTGTATCAGAAAATGCCATTTGAATCCAGCTGAGAGATGTTTTGATCCCATGGCAATTTCATCTCTATTAAAACGGAAGGGTAGTTATTTTCACACTCTGAATTCTCATTTTGCAGTCCTCCCCTTGTTTCTGTTCCTCGATTCTCCCTTGATTTATACAATCCAAGGCTAGAAAAAAGGAAGGAGTTCAGGCGGAGAAAAGGGGAGTGCGAAACTCACTACCCTACATAAAAAGCCTAAATAACCTTTGTAAATACATGCAGCATTCGATGTTAAGAAAGATGTGCACCTTTAGGTAGATATCTATTGCTCTATACATGCCATCTTCTGTTTCCCTTGATTGTTCTGGAATTAGTTCAGCAATGCCTATGAACTTTGAGACAGATACGTTACGGTCAGTGGCTATTTCAGCCAGGTAGTTCTCCATTAGCTTTCCGACACGTTCCATGTCAGTCGGCGGAGGAGAACCAAAATCATCCTCTGCATTATGTCCCAAACGGCTCCCCTGCATTTCATATTCAAGGTAATTCGTCACGATCCTTTGCACAGTGTCGACATCAAGCAATGTGTCCCCGGTATAGGAATATGATGGAATCAAGAGATCTAAAACAGCCTGTGCCAATTGAAACCCCATTCTCTTCTCCAAATCTAGCTGGCAAGCAACTGTTGTCTCCAGGGTTTTCGCAGCACGAAGAAGCATGGAAAGAAAGCTAACCGACATTGCATTTTTCGCCCTTGGCAGAAGACTCACAATTGTTTCTAAGACAACCCTCTTCTCGTGCTCTTGTCGCGGCTCGATTTTCTTCCTCCCCTTTCCAAATATTTCCTATGCCAAAAGAGGATTTATATATCAAGACATGAGCTACTAAACTGAAAATTATGACATTGTGGAGTAAGATCTCACCAAACCTCTTAGCGATTTCTGCGCATAGAGCATGAGTACTGGTCCGAGAGCATATTGCTTAAACCCTCTTGCCATCATTGCAATCATAACACGTTGGAACATATCGATTCTAAGAACAATTAAGTCTTCAGCCCACCAATCCACAACAGGCTTTGGATGATACACAGCTGAAGAAACTGCACCCTCATTGCCGCCATCAGCCCTACTGGACACACTGAACTGGCTCTCTTTGCAGGCTATAAAAGCAATTGCATCTATGCAGCGGTTCACTAATTTTACCTTCTCCGCCATTGGGAGGAAACTTTCTGACATGTGCAAAACAGTAACTGCACCCGCTAGGCTCTTCAATGCCACTTCATTTAAGTATGCATCAGCTCTTCCCACAAGGTTTCCAACCCCGTAGTCCTCAGTCATCAGAAGATACTCTGCCACACATCGGAGCATTGCGATGTTCTCTGTGCTTATCTCGAAATTTATTCCATAGCAGAATTTTGCTGCAAGCTCAAATGCTTCTGATCCGCCCGGAACATCAGATAGTTCAATGACAGATAGATCAGCAGCATCACTCGATTCTGATATCAGTTTCCTTATGTGTCCACACTTCGAAATCAAAGGGAACTGCAATTTTGGTAGGTCATGTTAAAATTAAATAATTTTTAAGCCTTTCCATGTTTGTTTAATTCATCCATACATTAAAACAACAAAAATTAGTGACAAAAATTTAATTTGTACCAAATAATTGTTCTTAGTGCTACTGGTCACATAATTTGATACATGAATCAACACTACAAGTTACCTTGTGCAATGAGAAGGAAACCCCTCCAACATTAATACTAATATCGCTCGGAATCTCCTGCGAAAAAATCCTGCAAGTTTCAAGATACGTTCATTAGTCTTTATCCCTATATTATAGGAGAAATCATTGGAACTAGAAGAGAGAGAGAGAGAGAGAGAGAGAGAGAGAGAGAAATATTTCATGAGCAGAGAGCGTTTATATCTGCACCTGTTTTTGAATACCTCTCCCCAAACATCACTTGTATCAAAAACAGGAATAAAGAAAAAAACACACAGAACCAATTAAAGAGAGAAAGGAAAAGATAGAAGCAAACCATTCACTAGTTCTCTTCAAGGCAGAAGAAAGAAGCTCCTTCTTCTTAAAGGACATGTTGGCTGTGGTAGTGGGTGCAGTACTCTCCTCGCCAAGTTCGATATCCGCCATGGAAGTAACAGTTGAATGTTTATCATGTTCAGTTCTCCATCTCCATCATATAGTACATCAAATAATAGCACAGAGAGAGAGAGAGAGAGAGGAGAGAGAAGGATTGAGCTGCTGCAATTTTACTGTAGTGAAGCAAAAACCCTACGTACGCTGTTTTCAGTACGTTTTTGTTTCGTTTTGACCTTTATCATTCAAACTTCCTTGAATATATAAAGAAGTGAAACAATCATTCTGCAATAATAAGAACAGAAAATATTGAAGCACTAATAATAAACCTGCATTATCCAGCTTCAATCTTCACAAGTAATCATCAGACTTAATGAATTACCCAAAATGCCTTCTTCTTTGGGGAGAGAAACTAGAGAGTGAATACAAGTCAAGGGGTAGGAGGAGGGAACTGAACGAGTGGCATTTGTGATATTATTGGGAGGAAGATGGGTAAAAGAAAAAGAAAAAGATGTAGGGGTTATGGTGTGTGTGGTGTATGGGCATGGGGAAGTTGGGTCGAGAGGATGAGATGGCTTTTGCATGTTTTTAGTGGCAGCCAACGGTATGAAAATCAACGTGGGACGTGGGAAGAGAAACATTCCCATCCACAAAAAAGGTGCCTCATCTTCCTAAACCCTTTCTTTTTCTATGCTTTATTTCTTCTTCAAAATTCACGAGGCCAATGGTAACATGCCTTTCATATCACTGGATGAATCAGCAGGGTTACTTGCCTAACATATATATTGGCTTTTGTTGGGGCTTTTTCTTGATAAGACCTAGATTGCCACCTCTAAACTAGATAAAAATAGAAGACTAATTATTAATGGTTATTTGGAGGCTTTACATGGTATAATCAACTTAGTCATGCTATATCGGGTGAATTGATAATTAGCATACTCTAAAGGATAAGCTCGTCGTTCACCTATCTCATATGATGTGTAAATTAGTTATATCACATGATTACATTTCAATATTACAACAATTTTCCTATATGACAAGTTTATCTGAAGATATTACATGGTATAACCTATGAGTCATGTTATAACAAGTGGATTGATATTTAGTACTATATATCTAAAACATAAACTTGTCGTCCATCTATCTCATGTAACAATAAATTAGTTATACCGCGTGACTGTATTTCAGTGCTACAATGATTTTCCTATATGACCGCACGCATAGGTCACAACTAAAATTTTTTTTTTCCATTTTCGTTCTTTTCTTTTACATGCTAATAAAAGAATAGAACCTTTACAATATGAACCCTCACTGTCGAAGCCCTGTAATTCTTAAACAATATCTGAGAGAAAGTGACAGAACCTCTTTATTTTTCCCTTCCTGGTAAATTTAGCAGGAAGAAAGCCTAATATATGTCCCACAGTCACCTACTTCTACGGGGATACAAACATCAGAATTGAGAGTATTTCTAATGAAAATACACGGTTTGCATAGAGAGTGACTTGAGTTCACTAAATTTCTTCAGCAATAAATGATGCTTGAAAACTTAAAGGAAAGAACAGAACCTACAGACATCAAATGGCTCCACATAGAATGTGCCTTCACATCTTGCCAATGAAGGGAACCTTTCACCGTGGTGATGGATCATTAGGCACCAAATCAAAACACTGATCTCAATCTCTCTGGAATAATTGCACCCCCCCCCCTCATTTCATTGGATTCTGATATCAAATAATGCAGAAAATAAAGTCATTGCTGGGCCCTCAATCAGCCTACCCAGCTCCACCCAGCTTCTCTTTGGTTTTCTTAGCAAAACAATCCTGGGCCTCTAGCTTTCCATTTTTTTTCTCTGTTTCTATTTGTAGTATCTGCCAGTAAATCTGAAATTACAATATTAGAATTTAGATCACATCTAGTCATGGTATATGCAGCAGCTAGAAGCCTAAATTGCTTTCTTTATGAAGATAAATGGTGGTGTGACCTACAGTATAATAGGAGCATCTGATCTCATTCTACAATTTTTTTGAGTGTGGGTAGAGGACAAATAAATAAAAGTCTATGGGATTTTTCATACTCAGCACCTACTAATAGATGTGATCATTGTAAGTTTTAGAGTCAGTCCAGCCAGTGATGGATTCAAGAAATTTCTCTCAAGGACAACATGTAAGTTAACATGTTAGTGTTTTAGAGTCTGTCCAATAACCCACTATTAATCAACATTCGTATTGTCTCCAACTTAATCAGTTAATTCAAATTGTACAATTCAATAGGTGTGAAGTTTTACACAAAAGACATCGATAATAGTGAAACCATGGAATAAGTTGTATTTAACTCGACCAAATTTTCCGATTTTCCGATTTTAGATTCTTCAACAGTCATATGAATTATGACCATACACTACATATAAGAAAACTTTCTGGCACCCGTTGCATAAAACAAGTGTCTAACATTTGAATGCATGAAGCGGGTGCAAGAAAGTTTCTTGCTACTTGTGGAGCCAAAAATAATCAAGAGACGACACGTGTATTCTAGGGTAAAAATAACAAAATTACCCACGAGGAACACTGGAATTCCTACGTGCGAGCAGTGGACAATCATCCCACAATCAAGTCAAAAGTGCCCAAAATAGGTATTTATTCAAAACCTATTTTATCCATCCTCATCAGATCTTCTCCACAGGTAACCCAAAAAACATTCCTTTCAAATTGTATTAATTAGCTAATTAATTGATTTATTACCTTATTAATATATTAATTGGCTAATTAACTACCAATTACACCCAAAAATGCCATAAAGGGCCAGTTACCATCTCTCCAAAGGGGGCCAGTCATGCCCTATATATACTACCCCATTTTCTCTAAAAACCTAAGTCCAACTCTCTTGCAAAATTCTCTAAATTCTCCAAACACTTTTGCCTCAAAATTTTACCTTTAGCATCAGAGGTTCTTCGGCCAAACCCCCTCCTCATTCATCGAGGGTGCGTGAGGCTTTTGGCCTTGGCCTAAGGTGTTATTTGTTTTGTAGGTGCAATTTTGTCCAAAAACAAGGAGGAAGAAATTTGGATCCATAAATTGGTGCTTTCATTGAGAGTTGAGTCACACGCTTGTAGAAGACTCTCGCATCTAAGGTTTCTTGTTTCTTTGCCTATTTGTAGATTTTTCGTATGTTCTTATTATAGGAATTTTTATTTCTAAAAATCCTTTGATAAAACGTAAAAAAAAAAGTACAATGGCAAGAGATTCGGAAACCTCGACGAACGGAAATTCCAACGTTCAAGGATTAGGATAGCGGCAATCTATAAGGCTCAACATAGCGGTGAGAGGAGTGGCACCCCTATGAGGCACCACCGTGGCAACCACCATAGTGACCACCACGGCAGCCACCTCTAGCAAATCCCACAGCTCTAAAGCCATGGCTTAAGCCGTGTCATTTCAACCTTCAAGGGCCCAAGCCCTAGTCGAGCCGGCCCATGCCGCCCAAACCCAATGTGAGCCCAATATGTTGCTAAGCCGAGCCCTAGCCTCACACCCATGTGTGCCACACGCCGAGCAGCCCACTCCCATGGTCCAGCTTGCTCCCGCCGAGCATCCTACTCCCGTGGCCCAGCCTACTCTTGTCGAGCAGCCCACTCCCATGACATAGCTTGTTCCCATGGCCCAGCCTGCTCCCGTGGCCTTCCAAGCAGCCCAAATCGGTCCAAGATTAGTTCCACCGTCCCGATTTCAAGTTTCTGGGCCTACGATTAAACCGGGGGCATTTTCACCACACTTCTCCGTGGATTTGACATTCCTCAATTCGAATCTCGCGCCAAGAGTCTACCATACTTCCATTGCTCAAGGAGATGCATTCCTTCTAAGCTCTTCCAATCTGAATAACGAACAACACTTGTCCCGACAAGTCATAGAGTTGACGAGCGCCTTCGCACAACAGATGACCTTGGTGAATCAGCTCTTTAGCGCAACACGATGCAACGTGCCTCATACGAGGTGAAGCAGTCACTCAATCTGACTTAAATTCAACCGGCAGCCTGCGAAGAATTCTCTCGCCTATTAGGAACGAACCACATGCACCACAGTCGCAGCATAGACGAGCCGAGCACGTAGAAGAGTAGCCTAGACCAAACAGGTCACGATTGGGGGCAGCCGAGAGCTCCACTACCCCAACAAAGGCAAATTCAGGAAGAAATATAAAGACTATTGACTGAGCGATTATGCGATTTCCAACACAACGAGGTCACTGATAAGGCACTACGACGAAACATGACCAACATAAGCGGGTCACCCTTCACGGACAAGATCGAGTAGGCAGAGCCTTCACGCAAGTTTAGCATGCCATATTTCACAGCTTTCAAATGAGATGGAGACCCAGAGAGACACTTGAAGCACTACCGAAGTGCAACGATCCTCTATTGAAACAACAACGATCTTATGTGCAAGATATTCGCCACCACTCTATAAGATGAGGCGCAAGATTGATTTTACACCTTAACGCCATAATCCATCTGAAGTTTCGACGAATTCATCCTATCGCTCGATCAAGAAGAAGTCCGACCACTTGTTTAACATCAAGAAGAACCCAAAAGAGTCGCTTCGTGACTATATGAAGAGGTTCAAAGCAGAAAAGGCAAGGATAGTCGGATGCAACGACTTGATAGCTAGAATATCATTCTTAAAATGACTTCTAGCAGACCAACCACTGTTCAAAAAATTGATCATGAAAAAAGATCTAACTCTGGCAAACTATTTTGTTTTAGCAGATAAGCATGTACTTTGGGATGAGGCTCACCGATGCACATTCAAGGACTTGAAGAAGTACCCGATATCACCTCTTTATTATCCAAACCGGAAGTAGCGAATGACTTATTTGCATGTTTGACGGTATCTGAACCAGCAATAAGCTCTACCATCATATGAAAAGAGCTGAAGGCCTGACTACCTGTATTCCACAGTTCAAAACTACTTGTATTCCATAGTTCAAAAGCTCTATTCGATGCTGCCAGAAATTAAAAAGCTAACTTTAGCGACAATTGTTGCAACCTGGAAGCTCAAAAGAAGATCATGCCATTCTTAGGGACTCATCTCAGGAATTGTGCCCCCTAAGAGACCAACCATGCTTTCCAGTGCAAGAGGGTAAACTAATTCCCTGACACCCACATGGGTCTACTTTCTAGTGTGAGAAGATAAACTAATTGCTCTCCAGTGTGAGAGGGTAAACCAATTCCCCGACACCCACATTGGTCTGCTCTCTAGTGTGAGAAGATAAACTAATTACTCTCCAGTGTGAGAAGATAAACTAATTGCTCTCCAGTGTGAGAAGATAAACTAATTGCTCTCCAGTGTGAGAGGGTAAACCAATTCCCTGACACCCACATTGGTCTTCTTTCCAATGCATGAGGATAAACTAATTGCTTTCCAGTGCGAGAGGGTAAACCAATTCCCCGACACCCACATGGGTCTGTTCTCTAAGGTAAGAAGATAAACTTACACTCTGAATATCCAGATGTGGATGAGTCGAGCTGCCCTGGTATAACTAGGTGCACGATGGCTTGTGCCAGAATTCTTAGAAGTAGCCACAATAGTATTTTTCAAGGCTTAGCTAACAGAAGGATTTTTGGTCTCTTGGTCTAATCCGCAGAGAACAGGGCTTCAGAGACGGAGGAGGCACATTACGCAGTACGCCCCATGGACGGCTGCCCTAGAA